CAGCAATTACTACAGGGGGGGGGGGAAGTCACTTCGGCCGAGTCACATATCAGCAAAGTTTTCGCAGCCCAGACAGAGGACGTGGATACGAGTACCAGGGCGGAAGATACCCAAGATGTTCCTCGATAAGCAGGAGCTGGCTCGCCCATCACCTTCATGTACACCAAAATATGAAGTCATCTCCAGTCGCAGCCTGACTGGAGAAGGCCTTTGGAATTCACGTCACCTCCAAACAGCTGCGAAACTTCTTCAATGGAGTCACCCATACCCGACGTTGGAGGTCTTGCAGATGAGTTCTGGAGAGCAGAACTCATCTGCAAGACCTCCAACGTCGAGCAGCTCCGACAACGTCGCTACGGTCTAGGATATCATCTTCACCGCAGTCGCCAAGGCGCGGGTTGATGGTATGGACCGGAAGTTCCTGGAATGTGAAGACCGATATTTTCTTCGTGGACCCCGGACTGAAAGTGAGCGCTGACGGTTACATCGACCAACTCGTGAAGAATATCCTGCCTTCATGTCATCGCCTGTACCTTCTTGGAGACTTCGTACTGCTACAGGATTGGGTGCCTCCACACGGAATCGAAGGGCGTTGAAAAACTCTCGCCTACTTGGAATGGAAGGACGTTGAGTACCTGAAGAAGACGGAATATCCAAGTGTGTCACCTGACCTAAACCCCTCAATTACCCGGTTCGGGCGGAGCTCAACAGGGTGGTCTACAGTGGCGGAGAAATCAACGCTGAACTCAGGTACCGAATCACGGTCGCGTGGCAGAATCTCTCGATGGCGCTCGTCCAGAAGGCTGTGGCGGAGTATCATGATAGTATACAATATGCTGTTGAATATGGTGGTGGAAATGTCCCATCAGAATTTAATTAAGTGTAACTTATAGCGCCCTGAAAGTCAAGGAAGAAAAGTGACTTTTTTGGTCTCCCCCTGTATAAAAAAGGAAATAGAAAACTCTGTAGGTTACCAAGACCACAAGTACATGCACTTTTTGGATGCGAGCGGGGCAGTGTAAATCAGTACTAACGCTGTTCACTTTCCTAGCAATCAAGGAGCAGAGAAACTGATTCGGATCAGAAGGAGAAAGAGATGGGTGAAGGAGAAGAAGATAGGGCTATCGCCAAAGAGCACTACTAAATCCATGAGCTCTATTATGGACGTTACTTCACATGAGGAATCAATTCAGGAAAGTCGTGAAGGTATTACCGTAAAAGAGCTAATAAATTTGTTGCAAAGATTGGCTCATACAGTATCAATAGTCCTCACAGACGTTTCTTAAGTTCGTACACGTACCGCGCTGCATTCAACGAACAGGATAGCGCTGCTGTACGACGATTCTTCTTCATAGGTGTAAGAATCCCTGACCCCGCTAATACTTGGTAACTCGATCGATTTAGTCGCGCGACTGCGAATGATACGCTCCGCCGTTAATCGCTGGACAACCGTGAATGCGAATGCAATCTTTCAGAACGAAACTTACTTTTTGAACATTGCAGCAGTCAAAAGATTAGCGGTAGAGCGTGGTTATTAGCATGTTCTCGAATCGCGCTATGAACGGCTCGAATGGAGAAGTATAAACGCAGTTAGAGGACAAAACATTAAAATCCATCAACGAACGACCGAACAAATCAAGAATAGAATAGATCTGAATTCTGCCAACTTAGGACGAGTTTTTCATAGAGGAGAATACAACGTCATAAAAAAATAGCGCTCTTTTCAGAATAAAAAGGAGAAGAATTAAAGCAAGGCGCAAACGACTTCTTCTAAGCAACCAAATACTTGTTAAAAAGACTCATTTAACATCATTTAACATCACCTCTACTTTCAACATGGGTAATATGTGTACCTTCCTACTGGTACATACAGTCTTTTGCTGCAGATGCAGGTCCACGTCAGGGGATAGGTGGAAGGTTGGGCGTGGCGCAATTCGTTTTCCACCAGTTGTAGAAGAGGGCAAATGACAACGATTGGTGGGAGAGGAGGTGGTGCCGCACCAAACCCTCCCTCCCTGACACCCCAGCAACCGAAGCAACAAGACTGTATCCCCTAGCATCAAGATTACTAGAAAGAAAGGAATGTGAACGCGAGAAAGTAATACGTGGAATGAAAGTAGAACCAACTTGACCTTTGCTGCCTACATTTTGGAGACTCGCGAAATTCAACAAACGAAGAAGCTACCTCTAACAAATAGAATGAGAAAATCATATTTTCGTCTCTAGGGATCATTGAAGGAAAGATACACACCCTAATGGGTAACAAAAAGCTTCGTAAATGGGATGGAAGTCAAATAAAAGAGAACAGGATTGAAGTAACCCAGTTCATTCTTAGAAAATTGCAAATAAATCGAAGGAAAAACTACGAAGAGAGCAACGAGAAAGGCTAACTAGCAAGTTATTGGCCGAGAATAATGCGTATAAGCTGAATAGTAGGTAACCAAGAAAGAACTGTCAAGTAAAAAAACAAGATAGACCAACCTGACCGTGGTAAAGACATGGGCAAGATGTACGGCAGCTCTTTCAATACAATAACGATGGTAAATCTGCCGTTCACCAGCTTCTCGATCAAGATCAATCTAGAATGGAAAGGAGAAAAGGATTGAAAAATCTGAGAGTACAAACTGCCATCCAAATAAAGCTGGCTTCTCGAATCGAAATATCACCAACATACTTTTATATTTACTAACGCTCTCTTACGCTCTTCGCCTGCCAGTCGACAAGCACAACATGCTACCATTTTTGAGCTGTTCTTCCCACATAAGGCCCTGCTTCCAACTCCTCCCTCTCAGAAAGCCAACTGCGTCACAAATGAAGAAAGAGGTGGTGCAAATTATCCATCTTTTGGATTTCGGATTTCAAAGCATCCATTCGTTTCACCCCAGTCTGCGCCACTCCAAGTCAGATGGATTTCGCTATTTCTGGCTCCTTCATTTTCACGAATCCCAGAAGAAAATCTTACTTCTCACCACGGGCTGAGCTGCGGTGAAAAACGTGAACACACGAACATTCGGTAAGATCTAGGTCACAAAGTAGAGCTCATTTTCGGAAGTATACGGAAATCGGGACTTAGGTAGTTAACGGGGGCAGGCGGTGACGCTATCATCCCTACACGTCTTTGCTCTCTCAACGAGATAATGTCTGTCCCTCTCCGGGGTTCATCATTTGGCGCTACGATCATAATTCGCATCAGCGTCTTGAGGGTACGGCAGCGCTTCGAGCGTGAACCAGCGTTTACAGCGTTTCGAGCGATTAGGGAAATACAGGTTTCGATCTGGTGTGTGGCGTTTTGAGCGTACGATAGCGTACAGCAGAGTTTTGAGCGACTAGGCAAGGATGGATATCCATCCAGCGTTTTGACCATCCACCAGCGCTTTGAGCGTACGCCAACATTTTGAGCGACTAGGAAAGTATAGATATCGATTGTGGTGGGCGCTGTGGTCGTCCACAAGCTTTTGAGGGTACGCCAGCGTCTCGACTGCCCACCAAAAGCTAAACACTACCTTCGAAAACGCTCACAACTGTAAAACAATCAAAACGCTTGCGTACGCTAGATAGATACCTGCACTCCCCGATCTCCCAACTACTTTAATGCTCTCCTTTCTTCGTTACAAGGGAAGGATGCGGGACATTATATGTGCCCCCTTCCTCCAGCTGGTTATGTTCCATAGTGGATCTTACGAGTGCGACGCGTTGTGTCATCATTTTGTACTATGCAACTGGGAGCGCGATAAGGAGTGCGTTGGGACCCACGAACTACACTATTAATAGGCTTAGGCCACAGTGGTCAAAATAACGTCGTATGAAACAGGACAGAGAACAAGGTCACCTGCAAAGCGCCCGCGTCGCAGACACGATTACATTTTAGGAAAACAGGGGGGACACAGCACCCCGAAAATTGCGCGTGATATTGAATGTATCGGCTCCGTCAGTGCACACTAACAGGCCAAGGTCTAAGATGGAGCGAGGAAGTAAGAGCGACTCATTTCGCTTCCCATCTGGCCGGGGGCAACTTGGGCGAATGAGTTGTTTCTTGTGCACTTGCTTCGCCTATGCACCCGATTTTACGCGCAGGTTGAGTACTGTGTCCAGCCTGCTTTCCCCAAACTACTTAGCACGGATCATTCTAAGCACTACTTACTAACGTGCAAATGTCTTTGCACCTTACGACGTTTGCTGTGAATTACTGCGGAGAGTTCTCGCAAAATCATGGGAAACTGACGATTGGTAAACTGATAACGCACAATGAACATCCAAAGAACACAGTTGGTCGCACTACGAACATTTCTCGACGAGAATGGCAAATACAATTTTTCAAAGGGAAAAAATGCGTGACCGTTATGGTATGCGGTTCGAGTAGGTTGACAAGACACAAAAACAAAAAGATGCAAATTAACTTACTCGAGAAAGATTGTTGTAAAGATCGACACCACCAGCGCAAAGATGACGTCCTAACAATGTTGCATGAGTCGTGAACACTAACGAGATATTAAGTTTCCATAACCTGTAAAGTTTCATATCTCAGTAAATTTACATATATGAGTGCACAACATTTACGTGCACGGTGTCTAGTGCGCCAGTACTGGATCGAACCCCTGCAACCATTGCACAGGAAATCGATCAATGAATGGGTTTGTTTTACTTTGCTGATAGTCCAGGAAACGCACGCAAAGTGCACAACTGCTCCTCTACTCCGGTCTCAAGATAGCCCTGCAAACGTCAGAGACCACTTTTCGTTTGCAAACGCCAATGTGTGCAGGACTTTTACAATCTCGGGGTTTACACATAATTCTGACGTCATTTTTTGACATAAAGTATGATGGTAGTCAGCTGGTTACTGGATACCCTCTACGAATGGGCTGATGTGAGCTTAAAGAAAAAACGATCGCTGTACATTCCCGGTAACGTATCATGGTTCGAACTTAAAGGCAGTGGGCACGATTTCCGGGGCGGGCGGTTGTTGCCAGCGTCATTGGGAAGGGTTGAAAGATAGCGTTAGGTTGAAATGCGCAGCGTGTCGTGGGGGCGTGACTAAAAGACTTCCACCAGTGACGCTGGCAACAACCGCCCGCCTCCAGCAATCGTGCCCATTGCCTTTAAATCAACAGTATAAAACTTCTAGGTGCCTAGTTGCTATGACAGCGCACATTGTTCTTGAGCAGCTGAAAGAGAAACTGTTTACTCCTTCTCTCCGGCTCAAAAATTGATTTCACGGCTCGACCGAATAAAAAGACCATTATTTTGTAAATCGCCTCACAATGGGACGAGTTGAGAGAAAAATAGAAACCTTTTTGGATATGAGGATTTTCTGGCATGTGATGGCCCTTGCAGAGCACTACTGTCTAATATTGCAAAAAAAAAACCAAGGTAGTGCTACTGGTTCACAAGAAAAGAGCATAGTAGCATTACCGACCTGCAGTAATTTTAACACTTTTGCTAGCATGTTCAGTTGTAGGATTATCATCAAGAAGCTGAACATGCCTCTCAGTATCGACGAAAGGCGCCCAACATCTGTTGGTAGCAAAAACCGACATTAAAAGTGTATCCATGCTAACACTCCCCATAACTTTGAAGAGGACGTGGATTCTTATGTTACAAGAACAATTGGACGCGACAGAATAATCAGAACCATAGAAACAAAGACCGCTCTGCGTGCCTCGCCAGCGTCAAGAAGCCTAAACCGCAATTTCTCGTGCACATGGCTTCCCTCTAATTCTTATTCAAACAAGTAACTGGTATCCTACTAGTAAAAAAGGAAAATGTATCAAGAAAAGGAGGAGTTTGGAAAAAACAGCAGAAGTATGGCCGCGTTCATAGTTCGCGACTGCTCAGAATCGAAAAGTAGAAGAAGAGGACAACTGAGAACGCGCGAATGCCCGCAAAGGAATGTAAACGTAATGATCTGTGGAGCAAAAAAGCAGGATAAAGCGCGGCAAAGATTAAGATGGGTATCGATTAACTCTGATCCGCGCTTTCTCTGAATCTCGCAACTCGCTATGGGCGGAGTCGATCGATACGGGTGCGTGCACTTAGATACCCGGGTGGGCGTGGCCACAGGGGCAAGGCTTCGAAATGGACCGGTGTTTCCCAAATTTGTGCTGCAATAGATATTAGACGGGAGCACCGTTTACAAGGTAAACGTTCCTATTGTCTTCAAGGTGTGCTTAATGTTGATTTCATGATCATACGTAAGACCTGATAACCACTTTTTCGCCTCTGCCTAATGTATACCTTTGCAAAAAGCATAAATTCCAATCTAAGTTAATTCTTCCTCTCGGAACTTCTTAGTTCAAGCAGTAGAAACACACAGCTGTTTAATAAGAAGGAAATTATCGTCTCCAAGCTCAGGAAGAAGCGCTGAAGCCTAATTATATCCGTCCACGTCAAGCCCTCGCCCTATTTTGGCCACGCCCACCGGGTATCTAACAAGGGAAGGATACCAACTCGTCCTGGCCATTCAGAATGAGATGTATACTCCTAGAAGCGTCTCCGGATGCTGATATCAGATCTGACTTCTCCTAACGATCTGGTGAGAGCTATACGGACCTTTTTTGCTACCGTGCTTAACCATTGCGGTGCGACCCCCTGCCCATGCTTTGCGCTCGTAAACCCCTCGTGACCCAGCGCCGCCGTGGCTCGATGGCGCAGCAGGTAAGTGGATGGCTTCATAGTAGTGAGACGGAGGTTCGAATCCTTGATGCATTTCGTAGTTTTGCTTTTTCTTGAAACGCATGCTAAACACTTGGGAAGTAGTTTTGCGTACCTGTCCGACCACCAAGACCCCTCCCTGCTTCTTATTAGGGCCTATGTGCGACTTTTCAGGGGTTTTATTTGTCGGTTTCTAACTTCACGCTGAAAGCATTTATTGATTGATGGTGTTGCGTGACAGCTTCATTCGAGGCATATATTTTCGTATTTAATGGGAAACATCAAAGGCTTGGTCCATGATCAGGAATAAAGTTGGAAATATTGCTTGCCACGAGGGCAGTGGTCCAGCAAGAATACAATCTCTGTACTGCTTTATCGCGCGAAAAAATTAGTTAGGGAGGGCTTGCATTTATAACGGCCCAAATATAGCTCCAAAGAGGACACTCCATTAGTGGCTCGGTATCGGTCTCCAGACTCCGCCTTCAAAGCCCATCATCCAATGAAAAACGAAGCTGCAGGACGAAAAAGCATGAAAATCGTAAGCTCACTTGTAAGGTCGTAGAGTTCTTATAGTGAATAAGCTGTATGGATGAGGGCGTAGTGTAGGAGATGGAGCTCACTGGTGCACCGTACACACATTCGGCTTGATGGGGTTCTCATCTAAATCTTAGGCGGCTGACGAGTTTTTTCTGCCTTTTTTCATTACCGAGTTACACAGCACATTGTCGTCTAGTCTATGCGAACCCCTAATGCACTATCTGTGATTGCGATTTATCGCAGGTTGTGCTTTAAGCGAGCACATTGTGATGTCCCAATACAAAATGGTTAGAGCAAAAAAGTTCTTCACAGGGTGAGCTGCGAATAAAAAATAATTTTGCTGCAACCATTATTCTCACAGATTCCCTCCAGATGATGTGTAATGCAATATTGGAGAGACCTCTCGAACTCGTCTGGATGAGTGGTCAAGGTAACCTGCTGCTACCCACGGATAAGAAAGAAATTGTTCAAAATCCTAGATGGTCTTGAAGGGAATTCAGTTCATTATCTATCAGATGCCCAGATAAAGGATCCGTATGTTCGTCCTTCACGAAGCTATCTCCCTCGCAGTCGATTATACGGTTGTAGTACAGTGCGTCGCGCACAATAGGATAGAAACTCTCTGCAATCTTCTTTTCTTTGCGGGATAGTGATCAAACAATATCGCAAGACCCGAATTCTTTCACTAGGTGATAGCACCAGAGTCCGGCAGAACTTTCAACTATGGTCGGACATCGGTCGCCAAAGATGATGGCTGATATGTGGGCGTTGAGTGAAAACGAAAGCTACCTACCGATATTCTTTCGTTGTCCACACACGTGTCTCTATAGGATTGATAAACAAATCTCGCAGTCTTCACGAGCCTATCAAGCAGATATGGGCATGTGTATTTTGGTCCCTTAGCTTAAGCTAGTCTTAAGCAAACGTGTAAAGATTCCACGAATCGTTCATCGAAGGGGCTCAATAAGTAGCAGGGAGGGGTCTTGGTGGTCGGACAGGTACGCAAAACTACTTCCCAAGTGTTTAGCATGCGTTTCAAGAAAAAGCAAAACTACGAAATGCAATCACAGGATTCGCAACCTCCGATCTCACCATACTATGAAGCCAGTCACGCTTACCTGCTGCCGGCCATCGAAGCACGTCGGCGTCCTGGGATCACGAGGGGTTTCCCACCCCGAGCGAAAGCCATGAGCAGGGGCGGGGTCGCACCGCAATGATTAAGACGGTAGCAAAAAAGGATCCGTAACTCTTCAACCCCAGAATCTGGTTTGCACCAAGATTTGGAATGTCAGACCTCTCGAAATCCCAGAATCCGGCGACGCACTCTAACGGAGCTCTAACTCTCATTCTGAATGGCCAGGACGAGTTGGTATCCTTCCCTTGTAAGTCACGTTGCCGATCGATACCCGTCCTTCAGCGCGCGATCCCCAGCGTCGCGTAGTAGGAATGCAGTCTGAAAACCAACCGTACCTGCTCATAATAAGGCCAGCAGCCGATTGCCACTCGTGAAAATGTGCTACAATCAATGGTTCAGTTGAGGCAATGGCTTCAGCAAACTGAAAAGATTATCAATTACTAACTACTTAAACTTCGAGAAAGTAAAATTTCTACGGTTACCTTCTGCAGAAATATGGCCACCATAAAGCCAAGGATAACGCAGTCGTTCGACTCGCGATCATGCCACGGTATTCCTACTTTTGTTATTCCCCACATCTGAACGAGTTATTAGGTAAATTGAAGTGAGATCCGACTCAAAAGTAAAAAGATGAACCTCATGCTTCCATTGGTCAAGTTTCCATGCCGCTGAGCCAATGTCAAACAACACCACTTTAGGGTACCCATCGATGAGCCAACGTCCATAGATAAGCTATAAATATGTTTGTAACTATGTGAAATGAACTTCAGGTCTAAACTTTGTTATCATAACGAAATACAGCCCCGTTTAGAGAGTGATATGTTATGTGCACGGGTATAGGACAAGACAATCGTAATCTGCCGCGCGATTTTAGTCGAGTCCGTACGACCCCCCCCCCTTTTTTTCTTGGGAGTTGGTACGGCGCCCGCCCATCCGGCCCTCTGTTCCGCCTCATCAAATCGAGCCTTCAGCGGGGAGCGGGCACATAGCACGCCTGACACGAAATGGGGAAAATCACCAAAAGTCAACCACCACTCCTACAACGCCAAAACGTAAATACGACCCCCCCCCTCCCAACAATGACCAAGTACGACCCCCCCCCCTTTACAACGTCCGTGAAGCGAGAAAAATCAACTATCAAAATAAATTTTTCTCAGCCCAAATACGACCCCCTCTCCTGGCGGCCAAATACGACCCCCCTATTGGGATTCCCCAACAACGCGTGCCCTGGTTCTTAGGGTAGGAGAAGATTCATTTCAATAAGCATGGATGTTGTCACCTTGAATTCACATGAGTTTTGCTCTTCAATCGACAAACTGATGTACGTCTAGAAGTTAGCCCGCACCGCTGCAGGATGGGTCGCGCGCGACAGCGCGGCAAAAACAATTGTCTTGCCCGTTTCCCATGTGCACTATTACGCCCGGTAGGAAAATGGCACGATAGCGTCATGCCCACTTGTTCAGAAAACCAGTCTGTTCTGAAACTATGCATGCCTGAGACAGAAAGACCAAATTAGCAATCAAACGTATTAGTTGTCGCAGTTACTACGAACACTTTTGACCTTTACACACGAACCTTGAAGCCGCAGTCTCTTGCATGATCCAGGGCATATTTCATTGCTGCATTATCTGGTTCAAGTATTTCCACCTGAAACATTCAGTTTTACAAAGTAATGTCAGACCTGACAATTCCTGAATGATTCACAATCATAAATATTCCAGCAGACGTCTGCAATCTTTTTTGTTTTGGTTTACGTGAGTCTCTCAACGTCACTCGTATCAAACGCTATCAGTCACGAAAGAATGCAGAACGACGGAAATTCCTACCGAACCCACGTAATCGAAACGTGACCTAAATTGTATCACGGACTGGTCGTTCTTTGAAAAGGATTGTTTGTTGGTAAACTTTTGATTTCTCACACGAGACCTGTCACAAGTGGAAAAGCCCTACTGCTGACACAGCACCAGTTTATATCCACACCGATAAAATCCAGCACCATATTTAATGAACCTACTCCTTTCTTTACCCCGCTGATCATAAATGGTGCATGCGAGCTTCCTGTGATTGGCGAATAGTTCGCAATCACCAATCGCGGACTCCTCAGGAGCGTCTCAAGACAGTACCAGACCGAAAGTAGCTGCGGGTGTCACGAAAAAGGCATTGCGAGAAGGGTGATATGCTCAGTAATCGCATTAGGACCCAATCAACTCAGCGCACCGCTGTGGGTTTTCGAGTGTGTGTGTGTGTGTGTGTGTGTGTGTGTGTGTGTGTGTGTGTGTGTGTGTGTGTGTGTGTGTGTGTGTGTGTGTGTGTGTGTGTGTGTGTGTGTGTGTGTGCGTGTGTGTGTGTAACGTGTAACATCCACAGTTAGGAAAGGCGTGCGATGCGCTATTCGGAAGTAACGTTACACACCCGGATAACACAGCATTCCCTTCTGTCGCCTGTGGTCTCTTACAAACGAACGGTTGCTGCGTTTCTGTGTCTAGCATTCTCTTCAAAAAGAGTCAGACGCATAACGCAGCAAAAACCCGTTTTTCAGGCTGCACCCTCACTGCGAGAAACTTTAGCTGTCATTTCATGTAAATGCATGAGCAAAAGCTGCAAGGCCACTAAACAAGATTCTAACAGTTGTTCTCTTGATCACATTCACACACACGCGCGCGCATGCACGCATGAACGGAAACATGGTCCACGAAGGGTGGACGGGTAGTGAAGCGTTCAGTTCTGCTCTAGATGCCTAGATAGCGGACGCTGGTCGTCTGCGCTCTGGTGAGACTGAGGCTCGTGCAGGAGACACGTGGACGCAGCGTACGTGGCCTCCCAACTACCCGCACATACGCACGCGCACCCACGCACACATGCACGCGCACACGTCATACCACAAAACTCAAGGTAGACACCAAAGAATTAAACAACAAGAAAACAGAAACATGGCTGAATACAATATGATAGTGCAAAATACAAATCTAAAAGTACAATAACAGCAAAGCAGCAAACCTCAAGCCGAACTCGATCCTCATTATATGGTCCAAGCATACAGTACTGATCACCGAGTTCTTCAGTAGAGATTGGGGCTTTTGTTCGAAGTACCGTATAGATGCCTCCAACTGAAATATTAAAAATATTCTGTACTATTTGCAACTGATTTCACAGTTTTGTGTACTAATTAGTCAGACCACCTGTTCGCGCTCGCTTCCATTCCGTTCAGTTTTGGAATTGTTGTCATCTAGATCTCTCACCAAACACGGCAAACATTGGGAATGCGTAAGGACATGGGAGAGCGATAACGGCAAAAGTGGCAACTTTGCGCGGTAAAAGACGAAAAATTACAGAAGCGGGAAGGCTCAAATGGAACTTTTGCTATCATCTGCTTATTGTCTGCTTTGCGGTTTGCTTCTGAGAGGTCTTTGTGAAGTTCGTCTGGAGGGAAAGCTTTACCAGTTCACAGGAATTGACCGATATTTTAACTGGCCATAGCTCAGCGAATGTTTTGACCCTTCTTGAAAAACATCGCAGCGAGAACATCTTTATGTCAATGACATGCCGCTGTGGTAAAACTGAAAAGTAAATACCTTTGTTTGCTACCTCCCAACTGCACTCGAACACGAATCTTCCCTCGTGACGAGCCGTCTCGCCTTGATCCATTATGTCATCGGATCGAAGACCAAGACCCTGGATACCACACAAATATTGATTATTTCATAAATACTGATAAGAGTTAGTACGAACTTACTGCCAGTTGTTTGGCAATTTTTGTAGTGGAAAGTTTGCGGCCAATGCGCGCCGGTGATGTCGAACCCGACATCCTCGATCTGTAGCTGAAATCATGCGATCGTACCTAACAATTATGAAAGTGCAGAAGTCAGGGTGCTAAAGAAATTTGACGCTTGAAATTGCCATAAATGTCAAACGAATGGAGCATTTATTAGAGTTTGGTGACGCGAAATGAAACACATAACGGCGCCGCCTACGTGCCGCCAGTGAAGAGGTATGGGGCCGGCGACGACGAACGAGCAGTTGTTAAATGTCCTCGTCGAGGGAATGATAACCTCCCCGTACTCAATGACGAGTACATTACTCACCTTGAACTGTTTCATCGACTTTTATAAAGATAGCACCCATGTGACGACGTTGATACGTAGCCTGACGTGACTGCTAGACAGTGGGCAATGTTTTTTCCTCATGCACGCGTGCATGAACGTTCACAGACCACATAGCGCATATCAATGGTTTATCACCTGGTTTCATAAATCACTTGAGCACCACAGTCCAACCGACAAGCACTGTTTGTCGATCGCAGTCACGAAAACTCACAGCGGAGGTCCCGCAGGGAATCCCTGGCGACGATAATTCCACTTTCTAAGCTGCTTACGAAACCCGCCAATCGCTAGTGTTACCTGGTTGCTTTGATGAAATCAACCATTACTCAATGAACACTTCTGCTATTTCTACGATCAATCTTACCAGGAGATCTCAATAATGAGGTTAAGCCGGGGACATTACATTTTTCTTGGAGTATTTGCTATAACCCAATGTGTGGTGGTTTTTCTACGATTCAAACTAACTGGTGTTGATTACTATCGATTGAAACGGATTCACAATTTGATCAATGCGGGATTTTTGATGATGTTGGGATCGATGTTCATATGGAGCAGAGTCACAGCGGCATTGAAGTGAGTTTGTTTACGCTGCTACTTGGTGGATTTACCCCCTTTCTGGGGTATAAGGCGCATTTCGCGGAGTCGCACGCGACATGGCACGCGAGGATTTAGTGGACAAAGTAACAGTTTCCCGTCTTTTTGGCATAGTTTAATCTCATAATTGGTTTCCTTGTACTTCTTACGAGTATAGATCATCACTATGGCAAAAAGCGTACAAAAATCCCGCAAAAGTAAGCGGAGGAGAAATTCGCGGCGTTTGAAGCAATGGTGCGACCTATACATTGGGGCGCCTTATACTCCAGAAAATGGGGTCTAGAAAAACAACGAAAAACATTGATTTCAGTGAAGAAGAAATATGATATCAACCATGTGATATATTTGAGAGATAGGAAAAGGTTTACTTAATGAATTGATTCGGTGAACCACGTGCTCAAAATCGCCTAGCGTTGAAATAGGCGTTCAGGCGTGGTCACACGTCTAAATTGACCACATGTTCAGCAACGTCAGTGACGACAGTGAACTGAAGATTCGCACGTATTTCATTTAAATTGTCGGCATTCTTTTGGGTGACATGCAGGAATGTTCGTTACAACATCGAACGAATCTCATTACAGTAAGAAGTGTTAGAAAAAAGGCGAACGATATTACACATTGCACAGTAACGTTGCCGTGAAAAATTCGACATAACGTATTAATTCTGGCCGATCGAAGTTGCTCCTGATCAATAGCCGTAGGTGGTCTAATTTTTTGATCTCCGTGAATTGGCGCTATTCGCATGTTGCGATAAGTTCGTGATTTTGACTGATTTCAACATACTTGTAATGTAATTTCATGCATTCGCTCCTCGAAAATTCCGCTTCCGATTTCCGAATTCCCTATTTTCATGCTTCAATTATTTCAGCTCCAAAACACCTGTTCAGGTTTAAATTTCTCCAGAAACAATCCTTTTGTGGATAAAAGGCGAACTTTTGCTAAACCGTATCCTATTCGTAACTGGATGGTACTTTTCCTGAACCTTCCAATTGAAGGAAATGACTTGATGTTGGGTGTTATCCACCTAAATGCCCCAGTTCACAGGAATTTCGCCCATACGCAACATCAGCTGCGTGAGGCAACTCGTCCAGATTACTCAACATTCTGGTTTACAGCCGATGAGCTCCAGTGACTGAAATTGCTACATCCAGTAGCCATCCTGTTTCACATACTCTACTCTTATACTACTTTTCAATACTTCTAGTTATCTGGATCCGGATCGAATAACACCAGCTCGACTGCGATGGCGAACCATCTGTCTTCAAGATGTTGCACGAGCTTCGCTTCTGATCTTGCTTATCCTATCGCAGTTCTCAATGATATTCTATTTCCTACTGCTCGGTAGGGTTTTTTTACGTTAGATAATCATTTGGAACAGTACTTGACCTCATATCGCAGATATGGGAAGGGCTTGACTGCGTGCTCCATTTCAAGATGAATAGGATGCGTTTCCATGGGATTATCCAGTTAGGGGCAAGTGTCACCCTGTGATTGGAGGAAGGCATGTTCTCCTTCAACACATGTCATGTCATGTCATTTGTCCCAGAACTGGAACAGCCCACCAAATGCTCAACTGCCGCTACTTTCGGATGTTGTTCGTAGTCACGCCCTCTCTACATCCGGCATATGGGGCGCAAGGCCTTATTCCAAAGAGATAGGGAAGTTTCGATGCAGAGCATCAAGTTTTCCGTCCCCTGTTGGGCACCTTTTACCAACCCAAGGCTTATATAGACAAAAATCCTCATCCTTTGCCTCACATTCAGTATTATTCCGAATACGTTCCGTGCTCTGCACCGAAATGACCCCTCCGTTTACTGGAAAACGTTTGCATATACAGTACAGTCGTTATCACTGCAGAAAAAAAGTCGTGCGACTGGGCCTAACTTAGAGCGCAGCCAGGGCAACTTTTCCCGGTAATTTTGGGATTTCAGGATGGAAACATTGGCGGGAAAAGCCGTCCTGGCTGCGCTCCATCCCACGCCCCTTCACACGCCCTCTCAGGAGGAGCGATAACGGGTGTATTAGCAGTTGATTTGTAATGAATAACAGTGGCTTTATAGGGGCAGAACCTCATCTTCTCGCTCAAGTAAGTCTAGTCGGATTGGCAGCTTATTTACATGTGCTTGTATTCTTGGTCATTGCGGAATCTGTTCATTTTATTAGTACGGTTTCATTGAAATACGGTGTTTTTGAGTCGTTAAACAGGTACGTGCGTTCGGTTGTTTTGTTAACTTACCGTCTGTTAATTTTTTCGATTTTCAAGGTACATAGTTAGTAATCGTCATGCTTACACATTTCTCTCTTTACTTTGTGCTGTGTTACTCATCCTTGGTGGACTCTACGCGACAATCACGGATCCGGTTTATACGCATGTGACGATTCCTTTGAAGGTGAACTTTTGATCGTTCTTTCTCGTAAACCTGCATGTTCCTCTTGTGCAGTAATAACAACGTTTATTCCTAGGAAAAATTCTTTTTCGGGTATTGTGACGATATTTAATGATTACGATGTTGAAACCCATCGCTGATGACGTTGGGGGGGGGGGTAGTGAAAACAATCTGGACCACAGCGCTTTTCTGTTCGTTTGCGCCCTCAAACTGAAGTAGCATTCTAATGATATCTATCCAAGCACGTTCGGCTTTGAAGAGCGGCGATGAAAAAAATTGGGCGTGGCCTGAGCCCGTTCATTGTCCCTTTCTCCTGCCGAACTACCGGAATCAAACTTTGGGGCACTTCGGCAGAGGGCATTTTGCCCTTTTACCGCTTCCCATTGACGTGTCCATCCAGAGAGTCGTTTTATGAGCTTAAAGAAATGGCGGGTTCTACTGTGGTGGCTAGACGGGCTTGCTCCAGCTCCACTTGAGTTTTCAGGGCTCAGCACTGTGAGACTTGTTCTGGACGTAGTGAAGCGGCGAAAGCGCAAAATGTCTCTCCCTCGTCGCGCACTGGCGCGCAGAATCTTTGACGAGATGCCTTAATTGTTTTTTCAAGGGTCTCGAATGCCTTTCGATCGAACTTAGCTTCATTCTGTTCTTTCCGATCATTCTTCATGGATGTGTGACAAGGCAATCGTAATATGCCGCGCTAGTGAGCGTGCCTTGCCTCCTCGCTCCGTGGACGAGTTGTCCTGCCCCTCTGTCGGCTTCTATATACAAGGGACGGGAAATTTGATGTCGATTGTCTTGTCTCCGCTTGAGTCATACGAGTTTCGTTGCTCCAATCCTCAAACTGATACGTATCGAGAAATTGCCGCGCAGTGCCGCACGATTCGTTGCGGGCGACTACGTGACAAATTGCGAACATTTGGTCCGTCCCCCGTTCATCACGGCAGGGCACGCCATTGCGTTGTGATCATTTCCTGAAAAATACGACCCCCCCTAATTCCATCTTCAAGTACGACCCCCCTCCCCACGTTACCTCTTCCCTAGATTTTTCCAACCTCCTACCACTTTGTCTATTTTCCCAAAAAGTTTCTGTTTTCGTCCAGCACTCCGGCGCTGGTGCGGGGGGTAAGCATACTGACAATACGTACGAGGAAGGGGCGATGATAGGAGCTACGATCACCGCCCACAAGGGCCCCATGAATTTATAAACAAAGAGGACTCACGACGTGACGATTAATAAACAGATGAAAGTACATTCCCGGACTTTTCTGATCGTAGGAGCACATTTGCTTGCAATTGGGAAGCCCTATCTAGAAGTTACACCTTTCAAACACCTGCGTGAAAGCCCCATGCATGGCGCATTGCATATGTGATGCCAATTGGCGCCCAATGGCCTATTACCTGATATGCTTGACGAAAACATGTGTTTCAGAAGCATACCAAAGTCTTCGAGCCAACTGGAGGTTTCCTGGCCTCGGAGGGGTTGATTTTTCGGTGTCGTGGGGGTGATTACAAAATGATCACAACGGGGAATTTGAATAGTAGGTCTAGGAAGGAAATTAAAACCTTGCTGGAAAGTAGAAATCTTCAAGCTTCCGGCACAGTTCTTTTTTTACGAAAGATCGTGTATCTGATAGCTTGGCCATGGACCGACGCAAACCGTAAAGCGACCTCGTTCGCCCGTTCGCAAAAATGATCACAGACGGATCACAAAGATGATCACAACGGGGAAAATCTCTGGAACCGGAACGTTTTTGAAATCGCTCAATTCAGGTGATAAGAGCCAACCTAGCTCTACTCATTCCCACTTACCCCTCTCCGATAGCTTCACTTTCAACGAAGTTATGGGTGTTCAAATGAGGGGTACTTTTCACGTGTTTGGCTTGAAATTGGCTCCAAACCGTAAAATAGCGCGCACCAATGCGCTTGTATGAGCGCGCTGACCGCGAACACCCAAAATTCAAAAAGATTCCATAGTTCCGGTTCCCAGCCTGGAGCGGTGAGTGTTTTTTCTTATCTTTGTATTGTGATCACTTTGTTTGTTTTGTTGAGTTTGATATATGTTTTGTTGAGTTGATTTTGTTGTGAGGAAATTGCTCAGGATTCAATTTCTACGGTTTCATAGGTAGCTTTTGCAATGGATTCTTTTCTAGATTTTGCGGATTAGTGGATTGGGATTTATCTAGACCAGATGAGGAGGGTTGGTGGGCGAAGTGTCTTGAAGTTTTTTGTGAGGAAGGAGGAAAAAGTTTCAGCAATATTTTTTTAGTTCTTGGCCTAGGAATAGTTCGATAGTGCCTAGTTCTATTTATTGTCATCTACATCGTCCCTTTTGAGCTTCTTTTCACTTGTACCGTGTATCACCGCTCTCTCCACTTCAACATGGGCCATGCGTTTACGACCCCCTCCATCGCGGGCAAATACGACCCCCTGTTGTGATGATCACAAAGATGGCGTGCCCTGCATCACGGGCACACGCCACGTGGACCTATCGCTCGCGGGTCGTCACGCGAGCGGACTGTGGCACACACCCATATCGTGGGAATGGAAGAATCCTCTCATCACTCTTTCGTAAGCACTTGCACTCGATATTTGCTCAACCTTTTTTTATGTGTCGCACTGAGTGACCTTTCTTTTGCTTCTGTTTTCTGCCCATTGTGCAGTAATTCTTCGCGACGTCATGTTATAACGCAAAAAGCTGCGCGAAGAAGAACGGTCAAATTTCTTCAAGAGTGCTGAGTAGTGGGCATATAGGCATTCGGTACTTAAAGGTGTGACGTGATGATCCATATCAATGACAGTATTAGGGATGTGGGAATTTGATGTGGGAATTATGCATCTTGCATCTGAGCACTGTCCAAGGTTTTTCTCTTGTTCAGTCAGATAATCAGCTGCATTCTCTGCAAGGGCACTAATTGAATGGGCCAGAGACGCCATTTTGACTATAATCCTTGGTGAAAAGCTTTTGCTATGTCAATTATTCGAGCCATCAAAGAAGGACCTGAACCATCGCCCACAGATGGCTAAACGTTTTCATGAATGAGGTGCTTGTTTTCTGGGTGCTTATGACCTTGTAGAGGGGCATTTACAAAACTCCTTGTAAAAACCAGGATTCTCCCAGTGGTGTTTAAGATTTTGCCTAAACTGAAGGCGGTGGAACCTCGGAGTTGGTGAATCATTTCGAGAACGGTACTTCTGTTCGGACGACTTTACTCTCGCTTTTGCTCAGAGAGTCCTTTGAAAACATCACCTCCTCTCTCACCCCTCCCCTCCGCCCCCCCCCCCAAGTATATAAGTGCTTTTGTTGGATATGTAGCGTTCAGCCGTTCCACTTCCTGAAGTGCATATCAATTTATTCTCCCATTCTGACCTTTTGTTCCGGTCTCAGAATAGGAAAAGTTGAGGGCTAATATGAACTGAATTGTAGCGCAACGTTGAACGAACGCCCGGTAGCTCGATTGGTTCCCATTCCTTTTATCGTCTGCTTCGTTACAGATGAATGGGCGTGTCAGATGCGGTGGTTTGGCGCGGCGCGTGGCCCGTTTTCTGCCAGTGTTGAAACGAACAAGCGTCATGACCGCATGCTATCGTTCGTATCAGTCGTTTCCACCATTTATTGTTGCTTACCCGCTTCACCACTGTGGAAAACGGGTTTGGCCCCGCGTCAACCCATCCCCTCGGACACGCCCCTTCATCCGCGGCTAACCAGACCGAAGTTCTGCTACCCTTTAACTAACATTTGGTTTTTCAGAAGTTAGAACATGGTGAGCTTCGGTTGGTCCTTCTGTCAGATCTTCATATTGGACCGACAGTGGGTCAGAAACGAATGGAGAAGATCGCACAACTCACAAACGAGCTCAATCCAGGTCTTGCGCTCTTATAGCGATTACACTCGTACTCGAAACTATTTGAACAATTTTTTGGCCATCTAACCCCTAAAATATTCAGACATCATTGCGATCGCTGGCGATTTAGCAGATGGCTATGTAAGGGATTTCGCCGTTGCAGCTTCTCCTCTTTGCTCACTGAAAGCCAAATATGGCGTCTACTTTGCAACGGGTAAATCAATGGATTACAGATTATTCCCTTGAAATGTTGTATGGAAGCTAGTCCAACATAGGACCCAGTCCAATGCCTTGATATTGTATTGGGGACAAGATATGTCCTGCGACGTTGTGTCATCTCTTTTCCCGTACGGTCATGACTCCATCAAACAATGAGGTAAAGGGGTGGTTTTCAGCTAGCCAAAGGAGCCTTTCCGCCAATCGTTGCGGCTTTGGGATGGCATCATTGGTGGAAAAGGCCTTTGCTGCGCTTCAATCCACGCCCCGCTCATGCAAAATGACTAACACGTTGCATGCCGACCTGTGTTGAAGTAGCGCCATCGTTTTTTTTTCTGCATTCATTTTTGCCTTCATTTCCATAGAATATTTCGTTGCAGGCAATCACGAGTATATGCACGGGAATGTGGATGAGTGGTTCGCGTATCTGAAGGATTGTAACATAACTGTACTTCATAATTCGTTCAAGCGATTTGTGACCAATAAGGGAGACCAAATGTGCATGACGGGCGCTGATGATCTGTATGCAGCGAAATCTCAGTAAGTAGTTTTCCATATAAAATGAAACTCACGGTGTTCATCAGGGTTTGAGCAGCGTTCGAATTTCACGATGACGCGCGACGACACGCTGTAAGGCTCCGTAAAGTGCGTCGACGCTCTGCCACTGCGGGAAAACGCGTGCCCTACTGTTCGCCCAGTTTGTAGCATTGGAGCGCTGCTGCGCTTGTAGCACGTCGACGCGTATCACCGCAAAGTCTGACCGCTGGCTTAGGTGGCCCGGCTGCTGGCTCATCGAGTGTCTCCGAGGTCTCAACCGTGGCCCTCCGTGCGCAGTAAGCGGCTTCGCTTCCTACTACACCATCTCCGCCCTCTTTAAGTGATCATATTTTAACTGTATTACGACTTCCTTAGACGAACTGTCGGCAGCATACGCAGTTTAGCTTGCAAATACCCTTCTGGCGCAGGTTCTGAATCGTAGACTGCTTGCATTGTGCGTGCACTTCGTGCGATTGGTTATTGGACTGTAACTACCAATCACGGATTTTTCCTGCATGCATGCGTCCTGTGCTTACAAATACTATGCTCCCGATTGAATAAGTTTTGTTTGAAAGTTTGATGTTGGAACGAGTTTAAATAACCACTCGCTTATCTCCCGAACAAAAATTTCGTTGTTTCAATGTTTTAAATAATCGGCTCAGTAACTGTAACCTTTCCAGTTTCCCTGGACATGCTATGCATCCGGAAAGGGCGGTGTCAGGTTGTCAACCGAACGACACCGTCATCATGCTTGCTCATCAACCTAACGCTGCCAAACTGATGCTAAATCACCCATCTGTGAGCGAGAAACTCGATCTAATACTGTCAGGTAATAGTTGGAGCTCCTAAGACTGGGCAGTTTAGCAGCACCTGTTTCGCTCAATATGCAGTTGGGATTTATCAAATATATTTTTTCAGGACACACTCATGGAGGACAGATGTATTTGTTCGTCCCAGTAATCTACTTGGCCAACGCTTTTGCAAGGTAGTTTCCTTTTTTAAACTCGTCGAAATTATTCCAGACGAGTTATATGTCATGTGGCTCTGTACGTTACACATTAGAGACACATTCCTCAATAACTGAAGGGGCGGGGACACAACGAGTATAGTTTCCGCGGAGGCGCTTCATTACATTATTTTGAGAAGGAACTCACTAGTAAAGAAGATGCAGTGTAAATAACTCTTTTCTCATTCGATTACCGCGGAATGTGTGGTTTTTTCCTTCCTTCTCAAAAGCACATACTTCTAGAGTGCTGCTGGGCAGCACCAACATTTAGCGTACTGTTACTACGTATTTTCTGATCTGAAGGTAATCTGTATGATGCGAATAGTTCCATTGTATCCTGCCATTCTTCCATTTGCCTTGAAGTGCTCTGTATGGTTTCTTTTCATGATTGTGTGATAAGAGCTGCTTTCAGACCGTTTGCTCAATTCTAAAACAGTTTGCTCAATTCTAAAAGTTTAAAATTACCTTATTCAGAGGGTTGTACTACCATGCAGCGACTGGGGTATACGTTTATGTCTCGGCTGGTGTCAATTATTTTGGACCTCCAATCAAAATGTTTGGTGCTTGTGAAATCATCGACATCGTACTGAAACCTTCAGCATGAATAAGCGATTGTTTTAGGAGAGGATTAGCTGTAATAGTAATAGTGATAATAATAATAATGTTGTAAGAAGATCTTATAAATTTTTGAAATGTTCCGGTTGTTTCTTACTGAAGAAATAAAATTTTACTGCTCAGCACTGATCTTTCCTTTCATCACGCCAAATTCGATTCGGCGGCGTCAGGTTATTACACGAGGAGTAATTCACGACCCCGAGCGCAGCTTCCTGCGCAGAATTTTTACAACCGGCTTACATTATCGTTGTGCGAATCCTATCAGGGAAATAGTAGGTGGTCGTCGCGGGAAGGGGTGGGGGAGGGGAGAGGAAGGAGGTCGCATCAGGCCGTGACAGACATCCCGATTTCTAGTTTGACCGTTTCACGCTCTCTGTATACCTTTCCCTCTGATTGGAAGTTTCAAATGTGTTTATCCCTCCAGCACGGTACGGCAAAATTCGGTAGACTGGTTGTTCAGCGGTCCTGTACCGAGACTCCCCTTTGACCCTTAGCCTGGACGGGAGGGGTCCTAGTGGCATCGCCATTCTAGTACACGGCAGCTTGGCCAGGTTGAATGTGTTGAGTCTGGTGCGAATAACGATATCATTTATGCGATATCATTTGCAACCCTTCTTTCGTCGCCTTCGCCGCGGTTTTGCCGTACTGACCAATATTTTGTTGTGCGTGCAGCTATCAGTGTGGTTTTCATCCTTATTACGGAAGAATTTCTCCTCCCATAAACATAAGAAACCTGGAGAGATTAAAACTGAATTGGCTGAGAGGATCGCAATGCGGGAGTTCTCGCAAGGTTCACATCCGATTCGTCGGCGAGGAAATCTGCATACAGGGGGGCCAAAAAAAGTCACTTTGCTTCATTGACTTTCGAGGCGCTATAAGTTACACTTTATAAATTCTGATCGGACATTTCCACCATATTAAAGAGCATATTAAATACTATTATGACACTCCGCCACAGCCTTCTGGAGGAGCGCCATCGAGAGATTCTGGCACGCGACCGCGATGTGGTGCCTGAGATCAGCGAGATAGTCGATTTCTCCGCCACCGTAGACCACCCTATTGAACTCCGCCCGAACCGGGTAATTGAGGGGATTCAGGTCAGGTGACCTACTTGGATATTCCATCTTCTTTAGGTACTCAGCCCCTTCCATTCCAGGTAGGCGAGAGTTTCTCCAACGCCCTTCGATTCCACGTGGTGGCACCCAATGCTGTAGCAGTACAAAGTTTCCAAGAAGGTACGGGCGACGACATGTGAGGAGGATATTCTTCACGAGTTGCTCGATGTAACCGCCAGCGCTCACCTTCAGTCCGGGGTCCACGAAGAAAATATTGGTCTTTCCATTCCAGGTACGTCCGGTCCCCACCATCAACTGGCGCCTTGGCGACTGAGGTGAAGATGATGTCCTAGACCGTAGCGACGTTGACGGAGCTGCTCGATGTTGGAGGTCATCCAGATCGAGAGTACTGGTCTCCAGGTAGCTATCCATGGGTGACTCCATACTAGAAGTTTCGCAGCTGTTTGGAGGTGACATGAATTCCGAAGGTCTTCTCCAGTCAGGTTGCGACTGGAGATGACTTCATATTTTGGTGTACATGAAGGTGATGGGCGAGAGCCAGCTCCTGCTTATAGAGGAACATCTTGGGTATCTTCCGCCCTGGTACTCGTATCCACGTCCTCTGTCTGGGCTGCAAAAACTTTGCTGATATGTGACTTGGTCAAAGTGACTTTTTTTTGGCCACTCCTGTAATTTTGAGAATGCTTAGTAATTTTGGAAAAGGGACCCTGAATTTTACCATTCCCTAATTGGGGTATCTCTCATTATCTCTATGGACTCCACATTGGGAGAAGAGCGTCCATTTTATGCTGGTCTGCGGACTTATTGCTAACTTATTGCGGAATCTGCCTTTAGCAAGGTGTGAGGCCGTCTCAATTGATTGGAGATTGATTTGCGACCTCACTTAATCTGTTTAAATCAAGTGAAAAGTAAGCCAATTGGGAGAACATTGCTACATAACCTTAGGTTGTTATACAGTGCATGTGGATACCTCAAATTTTTGTCCTGCAAAATTGCCTTCTGAATTTTGCGATATGAGACCTTTATTGTTGAATTCCTCATAAGCGAAAATACAATTATTTATTGTTTTGAAAAAGTTTCTTAATAACAAAAGTATGTGGACACCTGAGGAAGTCCAAAGTTTGGCTCCAGATCTGCAATCCATTTTTATGGTCTCTAGTCCCCATTAACCTGTAGCCTCGTCGTGGTAGTCCTCTCTACGAAGACGAACAAGCTCAGATTCGAGCTTTCAGTGCTGCAGGACATTGTAGAGAAATTGCAAGACAGCTTGGACTTTCGGCGACGTGCGTTGGTATATACCTCCAGAATCCTGATGGCTACCACTCAGTACCTGTTTCAAGGCACCCACGATCTTTGTCCGCAAAAGACATCAGAAGAATGGCCTCAAACTCCCCGCTTTCTGTGGCACAGATCCATGCCGCGATGAATCTACCGGTCTCAAAAATGACAATATGGCGCTCTATTCGATCAAGTGAGCACATCACTCGAGAGACCATGAAGAAAGCTCCCTGTCTGATCAACAGACTGAACTTTGCGCGTGCAAACATGGCGACGTCGTGGGACAAGGTGCAGTTTCTTGAGATATTTGTAAAATCAGAAAGGCAACATCTTATGCGCATTTCTTTCTTAGGTTATCTTCACTGATAAAAAGAAGTCAATCTCGACGGTCCAGATGGATATCAGCATTACTGGAAAGACCTTTGTAGCGATCCGTTGGTGTTCTCGAGACGAAATTTCGGAGGCGCCTCTTTGATGGCACGGGGTGGTTTTGGAAGCAGAGAGAAGTTGGAGCTTGCCCTTCCCATCGTGCTGTATGAACAGTCAGGAATACCAAGGAGTGCTTGAGTCTAACCTCTTGCCTTTTCTGAGCGGGCCACGACGCAGGACACATGTGATGCAGCAGGACAACGCCGCCGTGCATGTTTCAAATTCTACTAGAAAATGGCTCCAACGCAATGGTATCAAAGTGATTGATTGGCCGGCGTGTTCTCCTGACTGCAACCCAACCGAAGGTGACAAATCTTGTCCACAGCATGCCAGACAGAATGTTTGAAGTAACAGTGAACGCTGGAGGAAAAACCAACTTCTATTTCCACGATACATTTGTTTTTTGTTAAGTGTCCACATACTTTTGTTATTAAGAAACTTTTTCAAAACAATAAATAATTGTACAGTAGTTCACAAAGTGCTCAGAAGTAGTGTATTCCTATGTTTTCGCTTATGAGGAATTCAACAATAAAGGTCTCATATCGCAAAATTCAAAGGCAATTTTGCAGGACAAAAATTTGAGGTGTCCACATACTTTTGTTACGCACTGTATAGTACCAGCCGGCTCGCCGGCTCACACCCACCGGCGTTCCTCCTTCTGTGATAATTTCATATAGGTGACCTCCTGTAAACATGTGAATCCTTGTGACCAAAATGGCTCATTCGCATAGCTTCCTTGTTTCGTGAGAGTCAACAGGTCTGACCGTGAGATTTGTTAGGTACTCTGAAGCAAGATAAGGAACAAATGAAAGTGCAAATTGCCCTCTCCAAAACGAGCAGCGCTGCTAATTGTAGGGCCGTGTATTTCAATGAGTGATACTAGTACTTTGTTCTCGTTTTTCACTTGAGTCCTGCTTTGTCCTCTCCTCCTCGTGCTGCTTTCCCAAGTCGCTTATTCTTCCTACTTGACTTATGCAGATACAAGGATGACTTAGTGAACACCGAAAAGGCAAAGCCCGCATCACTCGTAATTACAGACAGTGGTTTAGGGGTCTGCATATAGTCTACAAGGTCTGAGTGACTCTGTAAGGAAAAAGTAGTATAAAAAACATGCCAACTGCCCTAGATAGAGCCCCATTCCGATCTTATTTGTACGTGCCCATTAAATTCTATCTATAACACTATCCCCCATCCGCACAGCTGATTCCCGATAAGAACTCTACGACCGTACAAGTGACGATTTTCATGCTTTTTCGTCCTGCAGCTTCGTTTTTCACTGAAAGGCGGGCCTTGAAGGCGGAGTCACTGGAAAAAAGGAGGCGCCACTGAACCTATATTGCGCTCTAGCGCCCTCCCTTACAATTTTTGGCAACGAGACAAGGCTGCTTCGCGGATTAAATTACCCTCCCGACGCCGTATTTTCATTTTCTATACCTTACCGCGGACCGCGCCTTTAACTGACGTCGCACCTTGTTGAGGCTGCCTCTAGCTCCGAGAGATTACCAGTAAGGCGGAAGAGGAAGTAATCATAAAATGTTCACTCTGCCCGGCTGTAGCGTTGAAGCGGTCGTGCTTGAGGTGGTGATGATCGTGCTGAACGTCCAGTTTTCTCTGCGCTACCACACCATCATGTACACGGCGATTGAACCCGTTGTGGTCTCCTGTTTTTTTAGCTCTATATGGATCCCCTCAGCCTTTTCCTTAAAATCTTCTGGGCTTATTCAGCACCATCATTTCCCAAAGAGTATGTACAACATAAGCAGTTCATCGTTCATGTTCCCACAAGTGAATAGGGGACATGGCACGGCTGAGGCAGAAGCTCATTCCTTCTAATCTAGGAGCGAGTTTGGACTACGTGTTGCTCTTTTGGTTCCTTCACACCTTTCGCATGGAAAGCATCTCAATAGAACATCGTCTCGTGAGAAGTCAAAGGAAGTTTTGAACTATGAAGTTTCATAGAACTCCTTTTGAAATCAACCAGAATATCATGAAATCAATTTCGCCCAGCAGTTTCTTCGCAGTAGTCATGCTGGTTGTTAACCTTTAATAGACCATAGTGAACTGTTTCATATGCTTTGATGGAGAGGAGTCAAGTTAGGTGAGAAGCCACACATGGCCCACAACATGGTTTATTTAGGGTAATCGTACCTCGGGATCCCAGTCCCCAGCAAAGGGGGTCGTATTTGGTTGCTGGACCAGGTCGCAT